GTCCTGCTGATATCAGCAAGATCAAACCTTGTTTGAAGGTCTTTGGGCAGGTGTTCCTGCTTTGGAAAGAGACTGCATAAAAAAACAGCATCTAATGTTTGTTGATGTTGCTATTATTGAGGTAGAGGCTACAGAAGTTATGATTTTCCTGCCTCATTGTCCCTGGCAGTTATAGAAGAATGCAACAAAAGAAAATTCCCTTCCCAAAGATCTTTCAGTCAGAACAGGGAAGACAGAGAAAGGGCAGAAGGAGAAATGGCCTTCCCAAGGTCACACAGAGGTCAGTGGTAGAGCCAAATAAAAAAAAACAAGAAAAATCCCAGCTCAGTGACCATGCCAGTAAGGCCTACTGCCCTGAGTCATCAGGTGATGTCCTGCCCTGGAGTAACAGGGTATTCCCAGCAGCATTTGCTCACTTTAACAACCACTCCTGTTAGTTTTATTTCAGTGAGTACTATCAACAGAATTGTTAAATAAGATTGTAGAGTCTTACGCATGACTCACCTTACTTGACTTAAATCCTTCACTGAAACTGCAGTGTTATTAAAAAAGCCATTTTTCAAAGAGTGTTTTACATTCAAAAGTTTGTCTAACTTCATCTGAACTACAATAAAAGGTATCACTCTAAGAAATCCTTTCCTCTGGCATAATTGCTTGACCATCACAGCTACAACATCATTCTTACGTTATCATTCAGGAAAGCACTATTTTAAATTCTGAACAGAGCACTTTTGATCTGGACTTAAGAGATAATATGTGATAAAAATATTATAATGAGGTCCCAAAGTCGCATTCCAGAGTAGAATTGCTCTTTAAAACACCTGGACTCTGAATCATGTAGTTCAAACTCAAAGGAGAGAGAGAGAGATGAAAGCAAGAACACAAACTTGAACTCTAAAGACATTTTACAGTCTCTAAAATAAACAGTGATTGGGGCTGGAGTCCCTAGTTCACCTTATGTGTGCCAAATCTAAACTAACCTGGCTGAAACTTCACATGCAGAACATTATGTCATGGTAGGAAGCATTTTTGAAAGCATGGGGAAATTAGCCAAGGCATTTGAGGGCAACAGTTAAAAGAGTGCTTCTAGAATAACATCTTTGAAGTGGCATCTGGAGAGGTAAACATTCAATACTTTGTTGAATTTCCTCACCCTGCACAGTCAGATATTCAAGAATTTCCACTCCTACAGACCAGGGGTAAGTTCAGAATGCTAAATGTGTTCCAAGCTTGACTAAGTATCAGGCAAAGTATTAGCAAGTTAGTGTGACTCCAAAAAGTTACTTTTCTGTCCTCCCCCAATATTTACAAAAGCTTGGGAAGAAGAGCTATGTTCCGTAATGATACTATGAAAACAGAGTATAAGCCTCCCCCAAAATATACAGCCTGCCCCATAAAACCAAACCTGCTTTTGACCAAGTAAACAAGGACAGTCCCATCCTACAGGGACTGGTGCAGAAAGTATGAAGAATGTAAAAAAATATAAGAGGAGGTTTTCAAAGACACAAAAGGCATATAGCACACAGTTTCCTTAAGTCAGTGAGTGTTAAGTATCAAGATCCCATTCAGACTTTCCAAAATCTCATCCTGAAGAGTACAGTAGAAGTTGGTTGTAACCTAGCAATGGTGACAGCATTTTGTTTTTCAATCAACTCCCACCCCTTTTTTTATGCAGCCCCCCCCCCACTGATTTTTAGTACCAGAGCTGGCTTAGGACCACACCTGTGAAACTGGACTTAAAACCAGGAGGCGGCGGGGCCTGGTAATTCTGTCCAGAAGGCCTAGAGTATCCATTGCCATCAGAGAAATCTTGTTGAGGCTGCGGGTTACTGAGGAACAGCTTGTAGACTCCGTAAGCAAGGACCAGTAGTACTATTATAATAATCGTTCCAGTACTAGAATCAGAGGAATCCGAAGGCTTAACTTTACTTGAGTGATAATAGTTGGAACTAGAGCTTCCGCCAAAGTTCTTGGTTTTCCTTTCACCTTCCTCTGTTAGCTCTAACCTGTACTCCAAACCACAGGATCCCTTTAAGATGTAGGGGTCATCTGGATAATCATAGCCTTCACAGCTCACTTCAGTTCTTCCAAATCGATAAGAAATGTCCAAGTCTGCCTTACACTCCCACTAAAAGAAGCAAAATAAAACCCAATATAGTAATCATTTCCTGGATAAAAGCAGCTCTTTGTTTGATTTCCTATATATGTAGTAAGATAAAATTAAGTAGCAATAAAGAGCCAGTAAGCTAAGACACCCAAACATTAGTACCTGAAATTTAGCTACTGTTTTACAAACCTTAAACCCAGTGGCTACTGAACATATAAAGAGTAAAGTAGTTTTAACTCTAAAATAATTTATGTAGTAGGTTTTTCCCCCAAACATTCAATGTTTAGAAATGTTTTACCAAAATTGTCAGACGATATAAAACAGCTGTTATAAATGTTTTTCACCTGAAAGATCTGAAACTTATGACTCATTTTCAGAAGAAGTTGCATTCTCACCTCCTGGTGCTCGCCTGCCAAACTGCAACTCTACCCCACCGCTGTGGCCTGGCTGCCATGGCTCCCCTCAAGCCGCCTGTGCTTCCCTCCATCCCTCTTCTCTGGGATAGAGCCATGGCCTGGCGCACAAGAAGCTGGTGGCGGGAGATGAGAGCAGTGTGGCCTCCTGATTACTGGTCCATTACTCCTCACTGCTGGTGGTGCAGCTGTCCTGGGGACAGCAGCAACAAGTCTTGCCACCTAGCTCCACCCTCCCCAACACGGTCCCACCTGCTGGGCCATGGACGCAGCTCCTGCCTGTGCCAGTCTGGCCAATGTGAAGCCCCGTGGCCTGCGCACAAATCTGGGGGTGTGTGATTCCCCAAATCTCCTTGCTCTATCTATGCACCCCCCCACTACAGACTTACCTGTGGGGAGCTGCAGGAGCTGCTCTCTACCATGTTGCCTAGCTGCCATGTGCATGTGCGCACATACACATTCTTGTGGCACCTTCTGCCAGTGATTGCCCTCCTCCTGCTTCCCCCAGCTCCTTGCAAGCTGGAACTCTGCCAGCCTGCAAGGGGAAACCCATGGTTTCCTATGTTTTTCTCCTTTAAAAGAGAAAATCCATGTTTTTTCATGGCAAATAGAAAACCCAAATCCCTGCTTATGAGGAAAGGCTGAAAGAAGTAGGATTATGTAGTCTGGAGAAGAGAAGGCGGGTGGGTGGGGAACTGATAACAGTTTTCAAATACCTGTAGAGTGATTATAAAGCAGATGGAGATATGGAGGTAGACCAGGGATGTCAAACCCACCTGGACCTGTGGGCTGGATGAAGATCACTGGGCTCATCTACGGGCTAGATTAGGACCATGCTTCAGAGCCAGTGTGCAGGGCCAGTCTGGCATGGGTGCTGGATGCAGCACATGCTTTGGATCACCTCACTATGCTGTGAGCATTGCTCATGGTGCCAAATCCAGTTCACACACCAGATTGACTCCATGCAAAGACCCACAGGCCAGATCACAGGGCTCCACAGGCTGGATATGGCCTGCAGGCCATATGTTTGATACCCCGGAGACACAATTCTCTGTGGCTGCAGGGGACAATACTAAGAGTAATGGTCTCAAGCTGCAGTAAAGGAAGTTTAAGTTGGAGATCAGAAAGATCTTTCATCACCATCATAGTTTAACACTGGAACAAATTACCCAGAGATGTAGTGAATCTCCATCCCCAGAAATTTTTAAGACCAGGTTAGACAAGCATTTAACTAGGATGGGTTAGTCAGAGATGACCCTGTCTTGAGTAAGGGTTTAGGCTAGATGATCTTCTGATTTTTTCCAGCCCTAGCTATGGTTCTATGCAACTCTGTTACCTGTATATCAAAGCCATCCCAGCCTTTGTTATGGCACTGAACAACTGCAGGGACGTAGGAGCATCCAGCTGAGCCACCAGTGCACTGCAATTGGAGAACTGGAGATGTTCGACGAGAAGTAGTATATTGATCTCTGTAGAGAGTAAGGGCTTGGACCTCCCGCAGCAGAACTCTTCCTGGAAGAAGAACACAAATTAAATTCAGCCATATAGGCACATTCTGTTTAAAAGCTTCTTATTTTAGAATATGTGAAACGTAGGTAGGTAACACAAGCTGCAGGCTAATATGCTTTCAGAACTGGGAGAACTTAAGAAACCAAAGATGCTCAATCCCAACAACAATATGAACAGGGATGTGTTTATCTGATACCTTGGACATGGGCAGATGTTACACCTGAAGTGCTCCAGAAGTGAAGGCATCTGTAAGTGCCTCACTAAGTCAATAAAACACTTCAAAACCGGCCATTCCACCTTAAAAATGACCCCAGAAAAAACAGGAACAACTCACAAACAGCATCACTGTGAAGCACTCTGCGGTGTCTGCATTCTTTAGCTGAGTGTGACAGGGCTGGTGGGAATTCCCACTTCCTGCTGTGCTCTATTTGCCATCCCTGCAGGGCACTGAGGAGTCAACTGTGACTTCAGCTGAACTGCAATGTTCCAGGGTCACAGGACCTGTCTGGCATGTGGCTTCTGCTCTTTGCTGCCAGACAGAAGGGACATCACACCCTCATTTTGTTGGACACCATCCTAGTTAAGATCTCCACTGTCATTAGACAGTATCAAGGATGTACAGATGCATCACAAGCAGGTCCAGGGATGTGATCCTTCCCCTCTATGCAGTGCTGGTCAGGCCGCAGCTGGAGTATTGCGTCCAGTTCTGGGCGCCACACTTCAAGAGGGATGTGGCTAACCTTGAGAGGGTCCAGAGGAGGGCCACTCACATGGTCGGGGGCAGCAGGACAGGCCCTACAAAGATAGACTAAAGGTCCTGAATCTATTCAGCCTCCACAAGGGAGGATTGAGAGGAGATCTGGTGGCCATCTATAAATTCACCAGAGGAAAATAGGTGGGGCTCCGTTTCCCCAGGCACCACCTGGGATAACAAGGAATAACAGCCACAAATTGATTAAGAGCAGGTTCAGGCTTGATATCAGGAGGCATTACTTTACAGTTAGGGCTGCCAGGCTCTGGATTGGGCTCTCAAGGGAGGTGGTGCTCTCCCCTACCTTGGGGGTCTTCAAGAGGAGGTTGGATAGATATCTGGCTGGGGTATTATGATCCCAGCACTCGTTCCTGCCCAGGCCAAGGGGTCAGACTTGATGATCTTTTCAGGTCCCTCCCGACCCTAGAAACTATGAAACTATGACTGTCCTCTCAAACCTGTGTCAGACAGGCCCACCAACATGCAACATCAAGCACGACTGTCCTCCCAACTTCACAGCCAACCATCCTCCAGGCATTACCAATGAGCATCCCCAGTCACCTAAAAGCCAGTCCTTTTCCTTCCAGAGCTACACTAGGCAGGACACAAGATGTCTATGTGGGTGCCATCCTCTGGATGGCCTGGCACACATCCTGCACAGCTAATCCTACTGTGGATTTACCCAAAAATTGGATGCTGTCACAGGTGACCAGTTTCCAGATGTTCCACATGTTGCTTCTTCAGTGAGGGGTGCTCATACTGGTGGCGTGCTGCTCAAGTGACAAAGCCAATTTAGCACTTATCTCCATGAAAGTGGCATGGCTCATCCAAAAGTCTGCCACCACTGCTTGTCACTCCAGGTGCCCAGGACTATTGTGTGCTGCCTTCCCTCCCTGCACCTCCTGCAAGTTATCGCTCATCTTCCTGGCCCAGAATAGCCAGGATACAATTTGCAGGCGTGAGGGTCCACAGAAAGCCAGCCTCCATTGCATCCAGTACAGCACTGCCCTCAAGCAGTACATCTCAAGGAGAAGGCCTTCCAGGGCCTCAGCTGCGGTACCCTTTGCTGCCATGTCGTTGCCTGCTAGCTGGCACGAGCTGCAAGAGAACGTAAAGCAGGTAGACCATGACATTGCTAGTGCCCTCATCCCCCTACTTTGTGAATAATTAGGTTGTTATTAGGTATTTGGAGCAACATGCCTGCTAGTTGTGCAAGAGGCTTGTTTATGCAGTTGTAAGAAGAGGTTAAACAAACACCTGCATGGGATGGCTTACTCAGGGATGATCCTGCCTTGAGCTCCCTGTCCTAGCTCCCAGGGTGACAGCACAGGTCCTGTAACTAAGGAGCCTTTCCAAAGTGACAGACCAGGCCCACAGTAGCTGTGGACACCCAGCAGCAGCTGGGACAGGCAGGCAAGGCAGCTAAGGGGCTCTTCTCTGTGGCAGCCCTCAGCAGTCTCTAAAGACAGGGGCTCAAAGACATACTGGGATCTCTGCTCTCCACCCCACTGACTGCTGAGCTCAACCAAACCGTGAACATGAAGCATTTCAGCAGGTCCAACTGGGTTTGTCGATCTCTTCAGCACAGTGATTCTCCTCTTGGCTGTTGCAACAACCCTGGGGGAGGGGAGGAAGGGAAGAGGGTGGAGCTGGGAGATCCTTTTAATCTTGCTACAGGAAGGCTGCACAATATTAGCACTGTCAGGGGTGCACACACTGACACATGATGCACAAGGCAAACCCACAGGTTTAAAATAGGGACCCAGAGCCACAAACACATCCTGCCCTGCTGTGGGCTCACACAGCTCTTTATACCCAAGAACGGCTCTATTACAGTCACAGAGAAGTAGGGCTGAAAGAGACTTCCAGAGGTCACCTGGTGCAGTGGTTTTCAACCTTTTTTCATTTGTGGACCCCTAAGAAGTTGTAAATGGAGGTGCGGACCCCTTTGGAAATGTTGAATGGAAGTGCAGACCCCTCTGAATCCTAAGTGTGGGAATTCATGTACTTTTGATTGATGAATCATCTTTTGTAAACCCCTCAGACAGCCTGATCCCCAGGGCTCTGCGGATGATGTAGTCCAACCCCCCGCCTGACACAGAATCATCTCTATCCAAACCCTCCCACACAACCCATAATCTAACTCGACATCCTGTGACCACCAGCCCTGACACAACACAGATCCAACACGCTCACTGGCTACAGGCAAAGCAGGGGGACCATGGCAGCCAGTGTGTTGCTTCTATGAAATGCTGTCAACATACTCAAGAGACCTCTGGGTAGAGGGTCACACCCCTGCTATGGGAGGAAGACATCACCCCCCCAAGTCTGAACCAGTCTGATCATGGAGTAAAATTCCTTCCTGCCCCCAAATGTGGTGATGGATGGGTCAGACCCCAAGTGGAGGAGCAAGACCCTCCAGCCACGGTGCTCTTCGGCAGTCAAAAAAAAGAGTGAACAGTACGAAGGGAATCTAGCAAGGTTGAGACCCAGCCCTTGTGGAGCCAGCTCCATCCTGCTCCTTCCTGGGGGAGCTTCTTACACCTCCCACAAAACCCAGAGGCGGGGGGGTGTGCCCTGCCACTTCTGCCGGGCCCCCCCAAAGCCGCTGCCACCAACCCAACCAGGGCACCAGCTACCTAGCTCACAGGCTCCCCTCCCCCACGCCTCTCATTCCATTCCATTCCATTCGCCCCGCCCACAAGCACGTGACCTCACAGACTGCGCCCCAGCCTATCCACGCGCGCATGCGCACAAACTACTGGTCGTAGCCAGGAGGCGTGGCCGTTTCCCGGGTTGAGGCGTGGCCGTTTCCCGGGTTGGGGCGGGGCTACGCAGCATATCCAGCCCCCTCCCCCCGTTGCGGGGGGAGGGGCAGGCTCTTACCTGGCCGGGCCCAGCCCCCCGCCGG